GCTCAGAATCAGATGCTGAGAATAAAAGTGACCATATTTTTCTAAAGTTATTTTGGTCATCCTTTTTTAAAGCAATAAATTTATCGATTGTATATATGTTTTTAAAGTAGTTTTAAAAGTATATCTAGTCGTGGATGAAAGTTTCTCGCACTGGTTTGCCTGGCCCACAATGTAGAGGCCGCTAGCTGTACAGGTTGTTTACGGCGTAAAACACAATTGACACACTGTCTGTGTTATCATATTGTATGTCACTATAACGACAGCATTGGTGAGACTAACCACACCCCCACCCCGGGTGTGACGGGTGCCGCCGGTGTAAATCTGCTGGATATGGAAAAGGTCAAAAAAATATATCTGGCAGTAGCGTGACGTACCACGTGATATGACTTATTTTCTGAGACGTATGTCTGTGATAAACCACTGTTCTTGTTACCATGACAACGAAGTGTTTCGCATATAGGATTCTATTATCAGGCTGAGGGTTGCATTCTGGAAATGAATATCATCACAACAGGATCAAATAATTATGTCCATTACATATTTGTTTGTTTTGATTTTTTTCTGTCAATTTACTAAAATTGACATTACATGATAGTACGACAACCACATAAGATAATGTAGTTCCTACGATTTCAAGCATATCGGGGTTCATAAAAATCGTATGTGCCCATGGGTCATCTCGTGTCGCGAGAAAAAATTCCTTAACAATAATTGGCTGGAAATGCCCCGTTTTCAGAATGCACTACTTTTTTCTCATTCATAAAATTTTACTACGCACTGAAAACCTTGGTACTGCAGTATCGAGGTTACCTGTCAAGGAAAGAGATAAGAACAGCTCAGTCACTAAATAATCGCACTACAGGATCGCAGTAGTTCTTTACCACTGGGAAATGCTTACACGTGTAAACATCAAAGAAACTCTTGAAAAACTTTGGAACACAAATTTAATGTGCAAATTGCAGACAACATTGGTAAACAATATGGCTGCTGAATCACATTTTCCGACAGCGGTCAGAGTGGATGATCTTGTCAGAATAGATGGGAGCTTAGTTGGCTGAGTTAAAACCGTCATTCAACTTGTCAGGACATTCAATGTATACAATACAATGTACAGACAAGTATGCAAATACATCCCGAAACAGGCAATCGACTTTCTGCTGACAACGATTCATATCTACTACCACCAACAGATATTGACGATATTTTAGGAAATAACTTTTACGATGAAACATGACGCAAGTAGATGTGAGGTTTCTTAAGCTGACTGTTCCGATTATCTTCCTCGTCTTCACATCGGTCCAATTACTTTGAAAGTAGTATTTTTCTCCAGTAAATGCACACACGTTTGATGCGTGTGACGGAACTAAGTGTCTGTCAACGCTCGCGAAACAAAGTGGACTTCATATTTACAGTTGTCAAACGAATTGGCTGAATAGACTTTATTTTGAGAATTTTTTTATTTTATTATGTTTTTTTTTATTCTTTGACAAAACACCAAACAACTTTGCATTATATTCTTAGCGCATAAAATTAATGTCAGTGAGTGGTCATTTGGTTTCTTGACTTACATGACGTCATCAAACTCCTCGTGTTCCTTTCAGATAGTTTATAATTGAACTAGTTGACGTATATTTGCGGCGGTAATAAATATACTGTCTTATTCGCTCTCGCTCGGAAAATATTACAATTTCTTCACTCGTGCCGTAAACAGAGTATGATATGACACGAGCACTCATTTGATATTTTCTATGTTTTCTGCGAACAAACATAACTTTTTTTCCAACTTATTAAATGCCTTAAATCGAGTGTAGCAAAGCGTGTTTTCTTGTGACAGATTGCTAGTTATGAAGATGATGTAGCAGTTCATCTTTTACGGCAAACAACACTAGGAACCGAGAAACCTTACATCTGTACTTACATCTGGCATGGACCTTGTACATACGTTGTCTACCTCAGTTCAATTCTGTCATTTTGGGTAATCCACAGATTCGCCCCTTATCAGTTAAAGGGGGGTAACTGTGAACATTATTGTTTAAAGTTGGTACATGTGGAACTGCTAATAGTTTACCCACGGTCGAATACTTAATCACAGATAAATATATGTAATGATTAAAGGATATTTTTAAAACGTTCCTTTTATGTGTTATATTTTAAGAAGATTAAAATGGGTATCGTTTTTTCGACGTTTGTGAAAATCAGAATCAATGTATTCTAAACTTTATGTTTCTTTTCACTGGAGCTCAATATCTGATCAAAGGGAAGTAACTGTGTACTGTGTACTTTCTGTTATATCGCGAGCAACCCAGGGGAACCATAAAAACGTTGAAGTTCGAATCATTAAATGAAAAGTGTTGCCCGAAGGGAAAGTTTTCATATCACAGCTTTCAGCATCATAGGTCATATTCATTACAGGCTATTATCCAACAGTATGCTTGTAATATGAAAGGGAGGTTTTAGTGTAGAAAGCTGTTGATGATGTTGATCACAATATACTGTCACATGGTTTGGCTGACTTTATGACTCCTGCTGGGTTAGGAGTGAGTGAGTGAGTTTAATTTTACGCAGCTTTTAGCAATATTCGAACAATATCACGGCGGGGGACACCAGAAATGGGCTTCACACATTGTACCCAGGTCGGGAATCGAACCCGGATCTTCGGCTGATGAGCCAGCGCTTTAACCACTAGGCTACCCGACCGCCCCTGCTGGGTTATGTAAATACTTGAAGTGTAATATAGGTGCATCCTTAGCCCACATATGTTTTAATATTTATTACTAAACTTGTAAATTGTAATGAACATTATGGAGAACAAACCGTCTATATAACTAAAGATTGTCCAGCAGTATATGCACGCATGTTTGTCGATGTTATCTATTGCTGATACACCTTTAAATCTACAAAAGAAGATTCCGCCTCAGAACATTTGTGCAATAAAACAGGTATGAAGGTCAATTTGAAGAACCCTATAAAGTAATGGTGTTCAGAAATCGCGGACCTCTTAGACATTATGTAAAGTGGAAACTTAACGTTTTATATATTGAAACTGTGATTTATAGATATTTGGATATTGTGTTCACACCCAATCCTGTTTGGACTAAAGCACCAAATACTCTTTCTGTGCAGAGTAACAAGGCCATTATGGCATTATACAGATATCAAAAGAAAGATGGTGATATATCCTGTCAAGATTTGTTTAAGATATTTGATCTTGTGGTGGTGCCTATCGTTTGTTATGGTGCAGAAGTATGAGACACTTCATACTGTAAAATTATTGAAAATGTACGAATAAAATGTGTAAAGGGTTTCTTAAAAGGGTAAAACAACAAACGATGCTATGGTTTGGGGAGTTTGTGGTAGAGCCCCGCTCCAACTTGTATGTACGACAAGGGCCATCAAGTATGGTTTAAACATATTTACTTTCACAAAAGTGTGAAAATGGATTGGTAAACAAGCGAAGCGCTTATGTTAATACCGCTCCATTACACATAGGACATATTAGAATAAATACATCAATGAAGGTTAGATGTAACAAATGAATTATTGTACATGCCAAGCTAGATGTGTATATACAATAAATCTATTTACAGTTTATAATACACAATTCATTTAACTGAAAATCTGCAAGTTTTTAATATGAAGTTTTGAATAGAATCTAATATTAGGATTTGCCCTTCCTTACTCAAATACGAATTTCCGCAAAGCACTGTTTGTAAAGAATAACCATGTTGGTAAAAATACATTTAATTTCAAAGAACATTGCAAAAAAGAAGTGTAAAGCATCTTCGGTATGATATCCACAGGAACAAGTTTTTGTATCCAAGTTATATCTATCATACTGATCTGCGTTAAGATCGCTGCAGCCAAGTCTGAGGCGACTGTGAATAATTTGACATAATCTGCTTCCATAATTTAAATCCAAGTGTATACTATTATCTCCCTTTACGTGAAGCAAATGTGTAACGGTCTCTGTCCCCGTTAGGTTTTCTGGTAACATATTCCAAAATTGTGTTGTAGCTGAAATAAATGAATCTGCATAAGCTTTTGTTTATCCCTTATTAGTTTATTAGATTAGTTTTATCCCTTAAGTCATAATTTGTATTTTCCGAAACTGTATCAGGAATAAGCCTACAAAGATATTCCGGGGAGAAATGGTTATTCATTTGGTAAAACCTTACCAGTTTTGAATTGTATCTTCTGTCTTTGTTTCATTGTAAATCTTCTGATGAGTGCCACATATGGTTCTAAGAGCATCTAAGTGCAATTTTTCGAAATAAGTTAGCTTGTTCCATTGTACAGTTGTAGTATGGGCCATCAAGTATTGGTGCAGGTTACTGCACTAGGATGATAACAGGCTGTCTCGCCAATGGTATTTGATGCTCAAATCACTGCACGATTCTGGTTTAAATTAGGATTTGGATATGTATGGATAACACAATAGGTTGGCAATGTGAAGACATTTATTCATCACTTTAAACAAAGATAAACTTCAACAATTATGGTGTAGTTCCATCAATAAAATAATATTTTAAATCCCTGTTAAATTTAGAAAAGATATCTCATACTCCCCACCCCAGTACATCTAACACTATGTATGACTTTCAGTAGATTTTGGGAGATACACAAATGTACCATTCACTGGACGATTATGTAAATATATACACCACCATGAACACTGTTTATAAACACCTGCATGTAATTGTGTATATACAACACCATGAACACTGTTTATAAACACCTGCATGTAACTGTGTATATACACAGCCATGAACATTGTTTATAAACACCTGTATGTAAATGTGTATATAAACCACCATGAACACTGTTTATAAACACCTACATGTAATTGTGTATATACACCACCATGAACACTGTTTATAAACACCTGTATGTAAATATGTATATAAACCACCATGAACACTGTTTATAAACACCTGCATGTAACTGTGTATATACACCACCATGAACACTGTTTATAAACACCTGCATGTAACTGTGTATATACACCACCATGAACACTGTTTATAAACACCTGCATGTAATTGTGTATACAGATGTACATGTATGAACACTCTTTATGACCACCTGCATGTAACTGTGTATATACACCACCATGAACACTGTTTATAAACACCTGCATGTAAGTGTGTATATACACCACCATGAACACTGTTTATAAACACCTGCATGTAATTGTGTATATACACCACTATGAACACTGTTTATAAAAACCTGCATGTAATTGTGTATATACACCACCATGAACACTGTTTATAAACACCTGCATGTAATTGTGTATATACACCACCATGGACACAGTTTATAAACACCTGCATGTAATTGTGTATATACACCACCATGAACACTGTTTATAACACCTGCATGTAACTGTGTATATACACCACCATGAACACTGTTTATAAACACCTGCATGTAATTGTGTATATACACCACCATGAACACTGTTAATAAACACATGCATGTAATCGTGTATATACACCACCATGAACACTGTTTATAAACAGCTGCATGTAATTGTGTATGTGCACCACAAAGAACACTGTTTATAAACACCTGCATGTAATTGTGTATATAGATGTATGAACACTGTTTATAAACACCTGCATGTAATTGTGTGTATACATGTATGCACACTGCTTATAAACAACTGCATGTAATTGTGTATATACACCACCATGGACACTGTTTATAAACACCTGCATGTAATTGTGTATATACACCACCATGAACACTGCTTATAAACAACTGCATGTAACTGTGTATATACACCACCATGAAAACTGTTTATAAACACTTGCATGTAATTGTGTATATTCACCACCATGAACACTGTTAATAAACACCTGCATGTAATTGTGTATATACACCACCATGAACACTGCTTATAAACACCTGCATGTAATTGTGTATATACACCACCATGAACACTGTTTATCAACACCTGCATGTAACTGTATATATACATCATGAACACTGTTTGTAAACACCTGCATGTTATTGTGTATATACATGTATGCACACTGTTTATAAACACCTGCATGTAATTGTGTATATACACCACCATGAACACTGCTTATAAACACCTGCATGTAATTGTGTATATACACCACCATGAACACTGTTTATCAACACCTGCATGTAACTGTGTATATACATCATGAACACTGTTTGTAAACACCTGCATGTAATTGTGTATGTACACCACCATGAACACTGTTTGTAAACACCTGCATGTAAATGTGTATATAAACCACCATGAACACTGTTTGTAAACACCTGCATGTAAATGTGTATATAAACCACCATGAACACTGTTTATAAACACCTGCATGTAATTGTGCATATACATGTAGGAACACTGTTTATAAACACCTGCATGTAATTGTGTACATACACCACCATGAACACTGTTTATAAACACCTGCATGTAATTGTGTATATACACCAACATGAACACTGTTTATAAAGACCTGCATGTAATTGTGTATACACACCACCATGAACACTGTTTATAAACACCTGCATGTAATTGTGTATATACACCACCATGAACACTGTTTATAAACACCTGCATGTAATTGTGTATATACACCACCATGGACACAGTTTATAAACACCTGCATGTAATTGTGTATATACACCACCATGAACACAGTTTATAACACCTGCATGTAACTGTGTATATACACCACCATGAACACTGTTTATAAACACCTGCATGTAATTGTGTATATACACCACCATGAACACTGTTTATAAACACCTGCATGTAATTGTGTATATAGATGTATGAACACTGTTTATAAACACCTGCATGTAATTGTGTGTATACATGTATGCACGCTACTTATAAACAACTACATGTAATTGTGTATATACACCACCATGAACACTGTTTATAAACACCTGCATGTAATTGTGTATATACACCACCATGAACACTGCTTATAAACAACTGCATGTAACTGTGTATATACACCAACATGAACACTGTTTATAAACACTTGCATGTAATTGTGTATATTCACCACCATGAACACTGTTAATAAACACCTGCATGTAATTGTGTATATACACCACCATGAACACTGCTTATAAACACCTGCATGTAATTGTGTATATACACCACCATGAACACTGTTTATCAACACCTGCATGTAACTGTGTATATACATGTATGAACATTGTTTATAAACACCTGCATGTAACTGTGTATATACACCACCATGAACACTGGTTATAAACACCTGCATGTAACTGTGTGCATTCACCACCATGAACACTGTTTATATAAGGACATGGCTCCATTATGACAGGCTCCGCCATCATGCATGATAGCGGAGCTTCAAATTAAGACAAGAGATATTTTTGGATGAAATGGTCGCGGATGTGTAGGTACTGGTGGACTACGGCAATGAGCTTAACCCCTGTTAAGCAACCCCAACTGCAGCAACCACTGCCAAGCAACCCATGTTGCCTACCGATGCAGCATCTGCTGCCCCGCAACTACCGTTGCCAAGCAACCCATGTTGCTTACCAATGCAGCGCCTGCTGCCCTGCAACTACCGTTGCCAAGCAACCCATGCTGCTTACCAATGCAGCGCCCGCTGCCCTGCAACTACCGTTGCCAAGCAACCCATGTTGCTATGCAGCTATCGCTGCCAGGCAAGTACCATTGCCAAACCATGAGCGAGGGCAACTATTGTTGCCAAGCTGACCATCCGCTGTAAAGCGGACACTAAGCCATCTGCTGTAAAGCAGAATGGATAAATTGGTTCCTGCTGTAAAGCGGGTAACCCTATCCTAAATAATTTATAATTTGGGATGTATCCCAAGACGCCAAATGTAACTTGTAATGCAGTCCACCAGCACCCCGCCACAAGCACCAAGGTGCTTCCCCACAACCACGACCATTCGCGCTCATGTACACCCACCGTGTTATCCTATACTGAAATTGTTTCCTACAAGCATACTGCGGAAAGGGAGCTGCCAATGTTTTGTGTGAAAAGATCAAGTCCGGCCGGTGACAAATGAACCCCGTCACGCAGGTACAGTTGCTGCTCCTGCCGGTTGAACACTGTGTGGGGAACCCGTATCCCCCCAAGCTCACGGGCCCTGTTCCCCACTCGTCTGTTCAGCTTCTGCCTGGCCCCGTCCAGGTCCCGGGCACGGCTGGCTACATGCCAGTATCTCCGTGGCAGCATGTCTGACCACAGAATGACAGCACCAGGTAGGAGGAGGTGTATCCTCAGGAGTGCCAGCTTGATCTCATGATATAGCTGGCACGTGGTTCCCTTACCCAGGTCGTTCGAACCAAGGTGAATCACCACCGCCTTTGGTGGTGTCTGCATTGCTTTGACCTGGGCATCTATCAGCTCGGTCAGCTCCTCCCACCTCATGCCGCCCCTTGCCAACCAGAGACATCCCCCTGGAATACCGAAGTCACTGTCCTGTAGGTGCTCTCTCGCCCGGGTCAGGAAGCTGGACCCAATCAACCATACTGAAAACATGAATCAATAGGAAAAAAACTGTTCTTGCATGGTTGGCGATTTAAATGTTTGCAGGTATGAGTATATAGCTTTTATAACATTCTGACCCCCACCTACCAAAGTGCTGTATCAAATCTGAACTCACTCCGTTACCGGCTGCTGTCGTTGCTGCGCCAATCCTGAAGGAATGCGAAGAGTATGCTGCTGTGCAGATGCCGCTATGCGCCAGTGCTCTTTTTAGCACGGCCTGAAATTGATACCTGGTCAGGGGAGATTTATCAAAGTGTACGAAAGCTTGAGTCTGACCCTGTGATCGAACTGTTAGGTATGCTTTAACTGCAGCCACTGGACACAGATTGTGGCCAGGTATGGCGGAAATGGAAACAACTATGCCATGTGAGTGCCTGTCCGTTTTTGAATGCCTTAGAGCGACTGTTACTGTCTTAGTCGTGTCTTGGACTTCTAGGTCCAAGAAAGCGCACCCTGGCTGAGAAAGTTTGGTTTGCACGAGTTCACTCACCCGAAAGAAACCAAAGAAGGCCAAGCAATATACTGCTTTGAACAATCTTACTTCATAGGTAGAAGAGCAGACAAATTGCAGGTTGTTTACAATTACTTTGAGCAGGTCTATTGTTATTGGTTTTCTGTGATCCTGCCTCCCCTGACACTTTTGCATCCCCGTAATCATTTTAGTAATAACAAAGTGGCCGGTGCGGTTTTACATGCTGTGTAGCCTATGGTACGTTGAGATACCGGCCATATACGTTCTTACCGTACTCGGTGCATGTCCTGACACTGACAGGTGAGCAATGAAATGTACCAGATGAGTTATTGGAACCGGCCAGACATCTCCCAGGTTTTGTGATGCCCTGAATGCTTGCAACGCTTGGGTTCCTGCCGGGTAAGTTGCCCACGTGTTTGCCGCCAATGATCGCTGAAGGAGCCTCTCTGCCTCGATTGTTAGCCCTGCCAGAGATTGTCTGGAAGTGGTGTGGGATGCAGATTGGCTGATGGAGCTGCATTGCGGAATCGTTCCCACTGAAATCTCGACAGTGCATCTGCGATAATATTGTCGTGTGTTGTTATATATCTGGCCTTGAACAAAATGTTGTGTTTGAGGCACTGCAGCACTAGCTGCCTAATCAGTGACATGATTCTGGGTACCTTTGATGACTGTTTATTTATTATTGACACTACAGCTTGGTTATCACAAAAGAAAAGTACTTTCCTGTTAGCAAAGGCTGTCCCCCACAGACAAACTGACAGCACAATCGGAAACAACTCCAGCAGTGTCATGTCACGAGTCGAGCCGTCCTCCACCCACTCACGGGGCCAGAGCCCGTTTGCCCAGTTCCCGTTATAGTATGCGCCGAACCCCACAGTGCTGGCTGCGTCAGTAAACAGCTGCAGACATGTATTGTCAGCCCACTTTTTATTCTGAAAAACCGACACACCGTTAAATTCCCCCAAGAACCCGAGCCAAACCTCTAGGTCCTCCCGAACTCCCCGCGTGATGCGAACACGGTGTGCTTGATGACTTACCTTTGTATAGGCATCAATCAGTCTGCGGCAAAACGGTCTACCCATGGGTATTGCCTGGCACATGAAATTTAGCTTACCCACCAGAGACTGCAAAGCTTTACGGGTCACTTTGTGCTTACCTGAGGCCAGCATATCGTGTATGATTGCGTTGATATTTACAATCTTTTCCTGTGGTATTCTAACCTGCATCCTGACTGTGTCGATTTCAAGACCTAGGAATGTTAAGCAGGATACAGGACCTACTGTCTTCTCATGTGCTACGGGTACGCCCAACTCCTGGAAAGTACTGAGACATGTATCAAGGTTGTCACCACAGTCTTTCGTTCCTGCAGTTCCGCCTGTGAGAAAATCATCAAGGTAATGCATGAGTTGGCCGTTAGGCAACTTTTGCTGGACACACCATTGCAAAAAGGTGCTGAATTTTTCAAACACTGAGCATGATATTGAACAGCCAAACGGCAAGCATTTATCAAAGTAGTATTTACCTTGAAAGCACAAGCCTAGCAACTCAAATTCCTGAGGGTGTACCGGCATAATCCTGAAAGCCGATTTCACATCAAATTTTGCAAGTAGAGCATTTGGACCAAGTTGCTGTACCATACTGACAGCCTCGTCTAACCGTGCATATGACACGGAGCATGCTTCGCTGTCTATGTTGTCGTTGATTGATCTGCCTTGAGGATAAGAAAGGTGGTGTATTAAACGAAAATCGTCTGTCCCCAGCAAGGTTTGACTCTTACCCGTTTGCTTTTTGGGTACGAGACCGATGGGTGAAACTTGTAGGTTCAGCAGGGGCGGCGTTTCAAAAGGACCTGCCACCCTACCTAATTTTACTTCCTTTTTCAATTTGGCAGCTACTATCTCTTGTAAAATGGGATCCCTGGCTGAGCGTAGATTCTCAGACCAACGACTTAGGCGTGCCCCACTATATTCCAGTTGAAAACCTGATTCCAAACCTTTTTAATAAATAAATGGCATGGGCATGGTTAGAATGCTTGTACAGTTGCAAATGTCGCTTTAATCTAGTGAGTATGAGTGGAGTTGGGGCCAGTGCCTTTAGCATGGGTTGCCTGTGTCTCCGACCCCCCTTTGCGCGAAAGCAAGAATAGGCGGGATGTTGTTCGCCACAATTGGAGCATTTATGAATAAACTTGCATTCTGGCCTGGCGCACCTTGACCTGTTGTAGTCCCAGCATGCGTTGACTGTAAAGTCACGGCCCCTGCTGAAAGGCACTGTAAAGCGTTCAGTCTTATTTTCTTGAACACGGGACATAGTCGGTGTCATGTGCTTCAACCACAATTCACCGTCTATCTTGCCCCACTCCCGAATTGGGTCTCGGGCCATACGGTGTCGGAATTGCTGGTCGTAGTTTGACCAGCCAAAACCCCCGGAGCGGACTGCGGCATTACGGATTGTTTCCATGTATGCCAACATGCCCTGTAAGGTGGACTGACAAAAATGTTTCACCACGTAAATGCTCATATATATGTGGAAAGCTGACGTCCATTGGCCTATGCTTAATGCCCTGGCGTTAGCCGGCTTGGCCGGCGAGAATCGCAGATTACCCGACGAATCCATCTGCATCTTAAATGCATCGTCATCGTCATGCGACTGTGCGCCTGGCAACAATGAAGTCAACTCCACAAACTCCCCTCTCCATACTCTCTCCTGTACAACTTGACGGACGTGAGCGCTGATAGCATCCGCCTGGAAGGTCAGGGAATCCCCTGTTCCCTGATTGGTTGACCCCGCTCCTGACTCTGCACGTGGTGTGACGTCACGGGAAACTCCCGGCTCGCCTGAGTGTGCACTGTTTATAAACACCTGCATGTAACTGTGTATTTAACACAGGCACTTGTGTATTGATAAGATTAACGGATAATGTGCCATGCACGGCCCTTCACACAAAGTTTGTATAGTTTCAATAGCAGCCCCTCATGCCATATCCCGCCTAAGGCCTTTTCGTTGTCAAGAAAGGTAACATGTATACTTGATTGTCTAATGGGAAATAGCCTCCTGTAACACATATGTAGCAACACTGGCTCCACGCTCTTTCCGGAAGCCGCACTGGAGACGATGTGAGAAATCAGGATTAACAGATTTGATCATACATGTAGGACTCCAGTCTGTCTAGCAGGTCTCTCAAACACCTTCCTAATCACGGATGTGAGAGTGATACTGTGATAACTATTTGGGTTACATTTATCTTTGTTATTGCCTTTGTTGGTGGGAATAATAGTACCAGTTCTCATCATGACAGGCGAGTAACAAGAACTGATCATCATATTATAGGGGTGTGCCAAATGTTTAAACAGAAGATTGTCAGCACTATGGAGGTGTTCTACAAAAATACAGTCCGGCCCAGGAGACTAACTCTTTTTCAGCCTCTTCATGATTGATTTTGATTCATTACATGCAATGCTTGTCTCCTCTTGATGTGTGGAGAGAACTCACCTTAGCAATCAAAATAATATTCCACCATATCGCTGTTAACATGTGTCAAATCTGGTAGGGTGTCACCAAGTATTTTGTTAACTTCAGATGAGTACATTTTCAGTTCAATGCCTTAGCTGTCTGTCATCTGTAAGTTGGGGAGTCCATAGCTTTTGTTCTGTTACGAAAAACGTCTTACTAAGGAATGATACGATATCTCAAAATTGATGTTGTTATGAACAGAGGTCGTCAGCACAGATGATTTAAGAGCACTTGGTAAGAAAATAAAATCAATCAGAGATGACTGTGTTACAGCCTTATTGCGCCATGTCTTGAGATGACCTTGAATGACACCATAGTTGTACGATGGTATCATGTTTCTTGCATCCAAGTATAACTGCAGTGTAGCGGACCGAGGGGATGCTGGGTAATTTACAACATCTGTATTAAAATCTCCACAAAGAACAACATAACTGCTTTCCGATAGCTCATCAAGCACGTCGAACACTTCCTTAACACTCTCCTCATACACTGCTGTGCTGTGATTATTGGAGGGGAGCAGAGCACACACGCGTCCGACATTCATATCAGCACACTGGGGACGGGAGAGTCTCACAGCCACAACACTATCATACTCACATTCACATATATCAGTGTACCCGTACATATTTTCTTAACTTGAATTGCAACACCGCCTTCTCCTCTATACCCTCGCTGGTTAGCTTTAACCTTAGCCGCGACGTCAAACTTATCATAAGACAGTCAAACCAGCTCTGCGTTCTGTCGTTCAACCAGTGTTCACACACTGCAAGGGCCTCACAGTCACTCGCTAGTTTCTCTAAGTACTGGCGACAATACAGAACACCTCTAACATTCCATGTGCCTATACTAAGTATGTGAATAAGTATGAAATAGGCAAAACTACCCATATTAAATTGATATGATGCCCGATTATCACCTCTACGGACGTTTCCATGTTCCAACGCTTAGGATGGTAATAAGTATTGGGCAAGTATTCAGTGTGATCATGTTAGATGAGTTAGCGTGCGCCATTGCTGTTTCTGTGTGACTGTGGTATCCATTCCCGACATCTTACATTTGGCGTCCAGACATTTTCATTCTCAGTAAATTGTTCTGCTGTCCTGCTGTCAGTGTTCACTCTCAGTGTGTAAGTAGGGCTGTAGCCTTCCCAGTGTTCACTCTCAGTGTGTAAGTAGGGCTGTAGCCTTCCCAGTGTTCACTCTCAGTGTGTAAGTAGGGCTGTAGCCTTCCCAGTGTTCACTCTCAGTGTGTAAGTAGGGCTGTAGCCTTCCCAGTGTTCACTCTCAGTGTGTAAGTAGGGCTGTAGCCTTCCCAGTGTTCACTCTCAGTGTGTAAGTAGGGCTGTAGCCTTTCCAGTGTTCACTCTCAGTGTGTAAGTAGGACTGTAGCCTTCCCAGTGTTCACTCTCAGTGTGTAAGTAGGGCTGTAGCCTTTCCAGTGTTCACTCTCAGTGTGTAAGTAGGGCTGTAGCCTTCCCAGTGTTCACTCTCAGTGTGTAAGTAGGGCTGTAGCCTTCCCAGTGTTCACTCTCAGTGTGTAAGTAGGGCTGCAGCCTTCTCAGTGTTCACTCTCAGTGTGTAGGTAGGGCTGTAGCCTTCCCAGTGTCTCAACAAAGGAACGTAACTGACATGGACACATGGACGCATATTCACATATGGCATCTTGCACCGTTTTAAGTGGTTTATCCGCCCTTACATACGATAGCAAAAACCGTTTTGCCTAAAATTTTGGTGAAACACCTCTAAAAGCTCTGGACCATTCACTGTCGAAATATCTCAGGTCTCCGAGCATGGTCTTCGTGTTGGTGATCATGTTAGATGAGTTAGCGTGCGCCATTGCTGTTTCTGTGTGACTGTGGTATCCATTCCCGACATCTTACATTTGGCGTCCAGACATTTTCATTCTCAGTAAATTGTTCTGCTGTCCTGCTGTCAGTGTTCACTCTCAGTGTGTAAGTAGGGCTGTAGCCTTCCCAGTGTTCACTCTCAGTGTGTAAGTAGGGCTGTAGCCTTCCCAGTGTTCACTCTCAGTGTGTAAGTAGGGCTGTAGCCTTCCCAGTGTTCACTCTCAGTGTGTAAGTAGGGCTGTAGCCTTCCCAGTGTTCACTCTCAGTGTGTAAGTAGGGCTGTAGCCTTTCCAGTGTTCACTCTCAGTGTGTAAGTAGGGCTGTAGCCTTTCCAGTGTTCACTCTCAGTGTGTAAGTAGGGCTGTAGCCTTCCCAGTGTTCACTCTCAGTGTGTAAGTAGGGCTGCAGCCTTCTCAGTGTTCACTCTCAGTGTGTAAGTAGGGCTGTAGCCTTCCCAGTGTCTCAACAAAGGAACGTAACTGACATGGACACATGGACGCATATTCACATATGGCATCTTGCACCGTTTTAAGTGGTTTATCCGCCCTTACATACGATAGCAAAAACCGTTTTGCCTAAAATTTTGGTGAAACACCTCTAAAAGCTCTGGACCATTCACTGTCGAAATATCTCAGGTCTCCGAGCATGGTCTTCGTGTTGGTCATCATATCCAACATCCCTGTTATGGTCATCGCTGACACTGTCATGTTGAGTAGGACTTGTACACTTGTCCCAGTGTTGTCCCTAATAGTGTTCCTCTCGTGGTGAATAGTAATGGCCACAACACTTGGAGTCTTAGCTTTGTTGGTCTCTGCTGTTCTGATCAGGACACTGCGGGCCTCATTTCCTGTCTGAACACAGGACCTCACAGTTCTGATCAGCGGGGGCTTTACTGAGTCTATTTTTCCGTCTGTAGCACTGGTTTTACATGTTAGCTTACTAATATTGTCTTTCAGATCACTTTCAAGGAGGTGTATCCGTGAATCCTTCTCACGTAGTTGAGAGACTAGTATCCGTACGTATCCATGTTGCTTGAGCTCTACGTTTTTCAGACCTTTCTATCTATCTTCACGCTGTTATGAGGTCACAGTTCTTCTCGATGGTATGCTTCATATTCCCACCAACATGCGATATTAACCCTACAAATATCAAAAATCTATATTTACGGTAAAAGTTAGGTTACTACAACGCTATCATGTCCTCTGGAACGGGCAATGAGATACGTTCCTTAAAACGAACTTACCACTAAGACTATTTAATTCTGCCAGAGATCGATGATTGTATTCTGCCTGAATAATTTCTGGAATAGCACACGTTGCTTAGTCAGGTGTCGGGAGTTGGGAAGCGAGTACATCATAGCAAGAACGTGTGACCATCCTATCTGTACAGCCCACAGCCGTGGTATAGATATAGCAGTAGGGGTGACAGGGGGTAAGAAGACTATCGACTGACACCAAGAGTAGATACTAACTGAGTACAACGCACAGGAGAGGGCGCACCAACCACCCTCAATAACAACAATATGGAGGTCTGTTCACCGCTTTTCAATCAATAGACACATCTAACTGGCTTCAAACATTGGACTCACGTGGTGACACGAACCTGCGTTAAATACTGGGGTTATCAATAAGAGATAAAAAGTATGTAGGGTCTGGTTCATTTAATGCCTATTTATAAAACTTTATTGAAAGTGTTACCCTGGTCAGGGGGTCAGTATATACGTCTAGACGGTGGTATATATGACATGGGTGTGGCTGATCCTATCTGTGTACGGGAGACGTGACGGTATTGAGCAATATGCTGCCCATCTGAAATTTGTCAACGTTGGATAACTGACAGTCGATCTTGCTTCAGCATCCTAGAGAGGTTATTATAACAGAAGATTCCCAAGTGTGACGACGCAGCTGTATTAACAAATGAAGCTCTTTTTCATGTATGAAGTATATATACATTGGGCGTCACTGACGCCCATTCAAAATTTTTTCTTGTGCGGAGCTTTTGTACCTATGACACATATTTGAGATCAGCCGATACCTAGTGCTGAGGCTCGGGTTACACTTACCACACAGACGGACAGAGTGACAAGTTATTCCACAGGCGTATACAGTGGCCGGGGTAAGTATATGGTTGGTGCAAGGGTGGGCGGCTATTCAAGGGGACGGATATATGTAGCATGTTATATTAACATGCAGTCTATGTCATGTACATTCTGGTTAGACACTAGTGTTGGAATTCTGAAATGCCGGTGTAGCTCATTGTAACATAAAAAAGCATGTCATGGACGAAGTTTTGTGACATATTATTCAGAGTACATATGTATGAATTGAGGTGGCCCTTGTTTCCAGTGTAATTCAAGTATATGTTTGTTCCCCTTGACGGCGTACATACACAACAGACACTTTCTGACAACATTAAACACCCTTTATACTATATAACAAGACTGGTGGGTCATGATATCATACATTGGAATAGCATATATAAACCCGCCACTCTTCGTAGCCTTGGTGTTAAAGTGTTC